TTTACTTCTTTCTATGAATACAGGAAGTCCAATGTATTTATTTTGACCTGTAGCCGTAGCCTTCGTTCATATCATGCTTTTTTTGCGGGGTATGCGATAGTTGCTCCGGTCAGGTCAAATAATACACCTATTTCAAAAAACGTTGTCGTCACCACGACACAGTCCACAGTCTTGARCCTGCHRAGAATCTCGGRGTTTCCATGCGTAATTAATATATTCAAAATATTTTGTGGTTTGAATTCAATGGCGGCAAACACTACTTAATATACTATTGCGGCCCATCGAACAAGTCTCGCCACAGACATTTTCCTCATTGAAATGAATATTCCACGTTTTTAAAACGTCAATGAGTTTCAAAGCTATATTCGCTATGAGACCGAGAATAATCCAGTTTCGTATTCTTCAATGCTCTGTGTTAGCCTAATTTGTTCGCAAAATATTCCTAATAGACCCCTTGCATGTGACGTCAAAACAGCTTCATCTGGAGGGCAAAACAAAAGATTTTTATCCTCTTGGGAACTAGAATCYATTGTTTTGTCCTCCAGTTGCAGCTGCATTCCCATGAACTGCAAGGGGTCTATTGTGAGAATAAAGTGTGAGATTTCAAATCAATTCTATTGTCTGTCTTTTCAAATTCCATGCGTTTTCTCGGGCTATCAATGAAACAAAAGAATATGTTGATTGGTTTTGGAGCTAACACAGAGCAAACCAGAACTCTAAATCGGAGTATTTCGAATAACTGAAATTGAACACATAATATATGGCATTCCCGAGATTCTTTGCAGGCTCAAGACTGTGGACTGATTCCTGGCGACGACAACGTTTTTTGAAATAGGTGTGTTTTCTGCCGTTGCCGTTTGACGTAAACGTTATGCTTAAGCTCTCTTTTAAATATGATTCACTGTTAGCGTGTTTTTGTACGTTGTTACTACATAAAAACAGATATTTGAAAATGCTTAAAACATACACCTAATTCTGAAAACGTTGATTTCGAGAACTAAAACACGTACAAAGAAATCTACAAAAACGTAGACTGATTCCAAAAAGTTCTTGATCTTATGGTAAGATTGTAATCATGGTAAAGCAAATATTATGTGAACCGATGTTTCAGTGTCAAAAGATTGTCACTCTGAATAAAATGACCTTCTCAGTCTATTACTACGGGTAATGCCTATAGCATGTACTATCAAATATTTTTTGAAATGCTGTGAAATAAACTACTTCTTTCGATATCATCTTTTATTAGCGACGAACTGAAAATAATTTTTCAATGAGATGCATTAAAAAGACAAAAGGTCGAAGACGTTCATCCTAGTGAGTGACTTGTTTTGTTTTTTTTAAAGAGATTCCATTTTGACTAGAGCATAATAATGCGCTATTGTTTTTTCTAGAGCGGATTTCGTATGACTGTGCAAAAAAACACGGTACGTTCGTGCTGTGTCCGTACCGTGCCGTAGCCGTGATGCATTGGAAAATCTTTACTTTCATTTGAAATCCTAGAAGGCGAGATTCCCTGACCGTGCCGTGTCCGTGTTGTGATCTGTGCTTTTGCACAGCCATACGAAATCCACTCTATGACAAACTGAAAGTTGTTGCATTTAGGCGCACATGCTTATGTGTGTAATATGGGATTATTGATATTAGTTGACATCACTCTATAAATCTATTGTTTTTTTTTATTCATTGCGCGGTCAAATGAATGCGAAAAACGACTTTAGTGGGATACGAATCCAGTACCCTGAATCTTTTGTCCTGAAGTGCCGATTTTTGCAGTGATTTCTCGGYGAGTTTTGTGGTCATTTTAATCCTAGAAAATGCAAAGAATTAACTTGTGAACTTATATTCAGCGGTAAGGATGAGCTAAGATGAGTTAACTAAACGTCTCCTCATCAGACCTCATAAGGATAAGACAAAATTGATTTTATTTTTGAAAATCTCTCGAAAATCGCAGCACTAGAAAATCACCGAAAAAAATCACCATTGTAAACGGGCCTGAAATAGGATATTCCTTGAATCTGAAACTTTAGTATCCAACACGAGGTCCTATTAATAGAGCCTGTCAATCATTGGCATTTGCGCACTACATCACTCAATAATAATTCTTCACATGAATTTTCGTGTTTAAGGCTACATTGAACTTTTCATACTAACACCTAGCACACGCACTCTTGTCTTGACGCTATATAGTTAACATTTAAAACAGTTCTGTTAAAAAGGTACTTTAAATGGCGACAAAGTGGATAAAATTGTTGTTGCTAATTGCGGTATTTCTGTGCGCCGTGGCTTCTGACGATGAAGTGGAAGAAAAAAGAGGAAGCAAATCGTTAAATTACGTGATGAAGGAATTGGCCCGTCTCAAGCAAAGGTTTGTTCCATTTGAAGCCGAAAAAAATATGATAAAAAWTATATGATACAAACAACGAACAGCGAAATCTAATAACTTGGTCATTTAGAAACAGCAAAAGTTATGGAACAAAACAAAATACTAGCTCACACGTACTTTTAAATAGCAACGTGTACTAGCTTTAGTCGTCGGTATTGATCTAAATTCTTATTGTGATCCATGAAATCAGTGGAAATGTTGATTAAAACGTGCGTATACAAGACCGAGTGAGATGAAAAACAAAAAACAAAAAAGGCATACTTATTTTTATATAGCAAGCGAGAGGCACAGACTGAGAAGCCTCTGCCGAAAAGGGGAGATTATATATTGTTGTTCCGAAATGCAGATAAACACTTTACCATAAATCCAAAATTACTCGCATTTTTCATCAAACGTTTTATCGATCGACTCTATAACTGTTTTTTTACAAGCCGTTATTACATGTTATTAAGTAAGGGTAGTTCAAGATAATAAAAAAAATCACAATATGGACCGAATAACAATTCTCATCCTGTTTTGCTATTTCCCCTTCTCAGGTTGTACAGAATGGAATCTAGAAGAATGATATTGCTCAAAGGTAACTGACCACCTCGTTAAACTGTGCAGGTTCCTCCTTTGAAGAAAATGATGMTGATAATGATGATGGTGTTGATAAAAGCAATGTAATATCAAATATCTCATTTTGTGTAAGAGTTTAAACTCAAAGTAATAATCTTACTAGAACACCAGGTTTTTTTCAGGAAAAATGGTTTCGTTTTATATAAAAACCTCTTCAATACAAAATTCAATATCAAATATCAACTTTTTCAGGTCGGGATGGTCGAGATGGWAAAGACGGTATACCAGGAGCACAAGGTACATTAGTTGCATTGTTAAAAATTCCTCTCAGTAGTTGATAAAGTCATCTAAAGAACAATGATTTTAAAATCGCTGTACACACACACGCACTTACCACAYTTGTGTAAATTCTCGCACGCTGATTGGCTRATAAGAGTGTTTCAATAAGAKGACATGCGCACTGTGCTGASACCATCACGTCWCGCGCGCGCGTTCAGTTGAAAGAAAAAAGAATGATTTTTGCTTTAAAAAAATCGCTGCGCTCGTGGATCCACTTTATTTTTCWAAATTTAATTTATGACGCATRTATACAACTCAAAACCAAGTACAATTTTTTCAATTGATTCAAGTCTCTAAATATTTTTGTCTATTGATATTTTTGTAATATAATTGCTTATGGTATATACACCTTACCAAAAAGAGGATATACAACGAAAAACCGCGTGTACAATTTTTTTAAACCACATTTAGTGATATGATATGAAGTAAATTGGCAACATTATTTTCCAGTTGATAACAATTTTTGGTTCATTGCATAGATTGCATTGACAATAAATATCCTTAGTTTGGATTGTATACCAATTATAGGTTAAGAGCTAGAGATGTTACAGCCAGAGCCTTACATGAAAAATCATGTATTTTGGGTGCGGCTTGGTTACCATAGGAACAACAACTGCTAAAAGTGCTACCAAATGATTTGTCTCAACAACATAATGACATGTGAAATAATAAAATGSCTAAGTCTTTTCCTTAAAATTATTGTTATCTTTTTACATAGGTAGAGATGGCCGTAATGGCAAAGACGGAGCACGAGGACCAAAAGGTATGAAAAAATTATAACAAGGCGTTCAAAACCTATCTTTATACACTGAGCTCAGTAAAAGCGTTATGAATCACTCGAATGTTGATTAGAGCTTGCATGGTTACTCAGGCTAAATGTTCGTTGGATACATTGCAAATATCATGGAATAATTCTATGATTTGACAGGGCCACGAGGACCGCAAGGGCCATCAGGACAAAATGGCGCAAGAGGACCACCTGGACGTAGTAGGGGTGGGGTTGAGTACATTCGATGGGGCAAGACGTCATGTCCTTCTGGTGCTAATATTGTGTACAAGGGTAAGTGATGTTAAACGTCTCAGAATACCACCCTGTTTAATAGTATAATATCTTCTATAACTTTTTTGAACTTTCAATGAAGCAAGAAAATACCCAAAGGTAATTCATGCTTCCAGTCGTTCTCAAAATACTTTTTCATGATTAATAATATTCCGAAGACGAAACTTGATAAAACTCGAAACACCGGCTGTGAGAGAAACTTAACACTATACAGAAATAAATGAAATCAACTTTTGCTTCAAACCTGTCTATGAATAACACTACACTAGCACTTGCATTCTTCATCAGTGTAACTCGGCTCCACCTTGCTTTTACCAACTATACTTCTCACTATTCAGACCAATGAAAAAATATCAACTAATATTTCAGGTCGAATCGGAGGAGAGTATTACAACCATTACGGAGGAGGTGCTAACTACGTRTGCGTCCCTGAAGTCCCGGATTACCTCAACTACAAACCAGGAAGGCAAARTACTKCGTTYATATTTGGAGCAGARTATGAAGTAAACACATTCAACCCACTCTCCAAAGGYCACCTCCATGACCATGACGCCCCTTGTGTCTCCTGCTATGTGAAGACACGAAGCTCCAAGCTGATGATCCCAGCAACCTACAAGTGCCCCTCA